AATAAAGTGAATGAAACAATCCCTACTCACAAGAAGCTCCCATCATAATTAAATGTCACATATGGACATCTAGGTGGTACTGTTTAACTTTTTATTGACTAGTTATATTTTTGAATAGATAGATTTTTCCACAAGTTATCAAGAAAATACAACTTGTCAATTGCATAAGAGTTCAGAAAAAAAATTGCCACTCTCCTTGATCTTCACTGGTTGTTGATAAAAGAATTAAAATATTTTTATAATAATGTGATATAATAAATTCCTATTATCTGTTTTTTAAAATTATCTAGTATAACTCCCATTTTGCAGATGTGGAAACTCAGGTAAGCCTATGACAGTAGTCTGATCCCTTTCTCCTTACCTGAGGCAATGTGGAAAAGCTGATCAAGTGCTGGACTTGGAATAAGAATGACCTGCTCAAAGCCCAATGCTAATACTTACTACCAGGGACAAGTCATTTAACAGCTCTAAGCCTCAGTTTCCTATCATAAAATGGGGTGATACTTGAATTAGCTTCTTCAAAGGGTTGTAAAGGTTAGCATCATTATTTCTAGGGAAGGACCATCCATTGCTGGGTTGATGTCACATGATTGTTTGTATGATAGAGATATGTATGTGTTAAGAGGAGGAGATGCCCCTGGGAGGTCCCATGCACTCATATTCCACCCTATAGCACATTGCTGATGGGAGGTGGTGTGAGACCATTCCATCCCAAATGGCTGGCACTTTTTTATAAGATGTTTCTGGGAGTAATTGGTTCTCTGGGTCCTGGGTTTGACCTTGATTTGAGAAGTAGCCTGAAATCATCTAAGGATTGGCATAAGAGGAATTTGGCCCAAGGACACTCAGAAAACTGATCCTTGATGCTCTTTTCTGCTCAGGTTAAGCAGAAAAGGAGAGGCCAGGTCAGGTTCACAGCTGGATCCCCAAACTCCAGGTACCAGGGCCTAAGCTTCTAAAAATAGCTGCAAATATGAGGATCACATTGAGAGGAAGGGATAGTTCTAAGGGAGGTTGAGTGGGCAGGAGGCAGTCAGTCAGTCAACAAATATTAAGTGCTTACTACGGGCGAGACACTACACTAAGCTGGTGATACAAAGAAAGGCAAAAAAGTTCCCTCCCCCAAGGACCTTACATTCTGATGTTGGGGAGCAACATGAAAACAATTATGCACATAAGAAGCAAGAGAACATTGTACACAATAACAGCCATGTTGTGCGATGACTAATATTGATAAACTTAACCCTTCCCAGCAATACAAGGATCTAAGACATCTCCAGAGGCCTTGGGATGGAAAATGCTATCCACATCCAAAGAAAGAACTACGGAAGTTGAATTGCTATTTTTTTTTCTCTTCTGTTGAGTTTTGTTTCCTCTTTCTGATGGTTCCTCCTATTGGTTTTAATTCTTACTTACAACATCACTAATGTGAAAAATTGTTTAATAAGGAATGTAAATATATAGCCTATATCAGATTGTGTGCCATCTTGGGGAGGGTGGTGGGGAGGAAGGGAAGAAAAATTTTAAACTCAAAAGCATATAGAAGTGATTATTGATAAATCAAAACAAATTAATAAAATTCAAAAAAAAAAGAAAAAAATTATGCACATAGACACAATGTAAATGGAAGTTGATCTCAGGAAGAAAAAGTGATTGTCGATAGGGGAGACCAGGAAAGGTGTACTGTAGAAAGCAGGTTTGAGCTGAATTTGAAGGAAATCAGGCAAGCCATGAGGTAGAGGAAAAGAGAGAGAGAGAGTATTCCAGGCATGAGGTCAGCCAGTAGTGATTGACCCTCTCAAAGGTACCCCTTCAAGGTACTACCAAAGGTAATTCTGAGTTCATTAGCCTGGAAATGATTACATGATGGGATCAGCTTTGTGTGTCATGTATCCCCAGCACCTGGAATAATGCTTGGCACATAGTAGGCACTTAAAATTACTTGCTGATTGTTGATTCTTTAGGACTAACATTCTGCTGCTCATTTAATCTCTATTAATGAGTATCGAGAGGGTACCCTAACCCCAGCCCAGTACTCAGGCACACTGCTGGCAAGTCAGAGAAGGTGATTGATTACTCAACCTCAGTCTTCAAGAAGCTTACATTAGAGCTGGAAAGACAGATACAGAAGTAGAGGAGACAAGGTAAGGAGGTGGCCTAGGGTGCCTGGCATGAAGGGCACTTAAAATTTTTTCTTGTCATAAATGCACATTATTGCAAGTGCTGAAGAATCTGACTTTCTAGGGTCATATTAGGTAGGTTTCTGTAAAGGCTTTTGCCAATAACACAGAGTACAGGATTGTCAAATCTTATGCAAATTACATATACCCCGTGGACATGTGCAAAGATAAATATTGACACATAGGCAGAACACACTCAGCTAACAAAAGTTAGGTAGAGTCCCTCCAGACTGAGGTTAAGACTTTTCTTCTTAACCAGGTGCCATTGACCATGCCTATACCCTTCCAAGTTAGATTGATCTCACACATCAGAGTTCTCTGTGGTCTGCACCTGCCACAGAAGTTCAAGGGCCCTATATTCCAGGGTTATAATTGGCTATGAGGCTCCAGAAAAGCTCTTGGTTCTGACACTTCCCTAGAAGTGATTTGGTTTATGTTATACACTCATATACATACACTTAAACTACAGCTGCTTGGTCTCCTAGACCAAATTGACCATAGTAAATCATTTCTAGACTTATTTCTGCTCTCTCTACATCCACTTCTAATCTATGAAAAAGGCCTTCAGAGAGGGTATGGTTTGGTCCCAAGGCAAAAAGTGGAAGAGGAGGTCTCTGGAAGCAATGGGTGCATTCCCACTGGATGCCTTCAAGCAAATGAATGGATGGCTACTTGTCTTGAGTTAGGAGAGGACGTTCCCATTCAAACACAGCTTGTCCTAGATAGCATTCTATAATTTTGTGAATTACATAGCATTCTATAATTTAGGGAAATTTTTATTCTAGTAAAACTGGAGCCTTTTAAGAGCAGGATAGTCCTTCCACTCAACCATACTTTTTGTACTTCCCAGAATGTGTCTCCCTGGTTAAAAGAAAGCTTTTAACAGAAAAGACGGACTATATGTCAATCACCCTTCTGAAAAAAGATACTGGCTATTGCTTCCCAGCTTGGCAGCCCCAGGCTTGCCACTTCACTCCTAACTTGGTCTGTACCATCATACCAACTCTATTCTTCACCTGTATTGCTACCTGCCCAGTCCAGGTAGTTTGCTTACTCCATTGAGGAATTCCCGTCTTCTTTCCTACAGGAATGTTTGCCATACATTCTCTTCAGTTCTCATCTATACGTTCTAGTTATCATCCCTCTCACCCACCAGGTGTGACTTCAACAACTGTGTTCCAGACCCAGCTTCATTCCCACAGATCTATTCACAACATGGCCCAACCTAGACCAACCTGGCCCAGCTCTGCCCGAGCTGAAAGAGCTCCCAGAAAACATACTGGTTAATCCTGACCATACCTGCCCATCCACACCAAGGGACAAAGACTCAGACATGAAAAAAAAAAGACTGTGCTCTATTTGATCTAAATAGGGTAAGAGGAAATTCATAAAATACCCAGTCTGCCCTTAAGCCCATGAAATTGAGATGACTAAACCTTGGTAAAGATTGCATGTCAAAGTCCCTGCCAATGAAAAATGAGGCCCCAAATTGTGCAAATAAAAGCGAGAACAACATCAGATTATTCTACTGAATAACTAGATTACCTAACAGACTGTGGGGCTGGGACTTCTTGTTCCTGGACTTAGTCTGGTAGGGTAGGAAGCTAAATTTCTAGTCAGAAGATCCGGGTACAAATTTTGGCTCCATCATTTACCACTTGCGTAAATATAGGCACATTATTTGACCTTTCTAGTCCTAAATTACTCCATCTATAAAAGGGGGACAATCATGCCTGTGCTCTCCTCTCACACAAAAATAAAACAAAAACACTGGGAAATAAACCCCAAGTATAAGTAAAGAATAAGTTTTGAGTAGGTCAGCCCTCATAGGGCTGATGTGAAAAACAGTGATTGTAAATTTCTTCAGATTATATCAATATGAGCTGTTATTTTGTATTTGCTGTGATTTCATAACATAGATATTCTAAGGGAGGAAAGTCCTTCTACTGAAGCAAATTGGTATCTATTGTGCTATTCCTGGGCTTAGAGAGTTTCCTGAGCATACGTTGGCAGCCAGAGCCTGGGAATGTGACCTGGAGTCTCACAGTTAAGGTAAACTACATTGACTAGATATAAACAGCAAAAGAAGCTCCAACGTATCTCATGGGAACACTTGCACATGACTGTAGGCCATCCCTGGCATTTTGCTATCTTTGTCCTGTTTCTATATAATTTCTCAGCTGAACGGGGCTTAGTGCAGGTATCCATCACACTATTCTGTCCTCCTGTCGCCAAGGACTGGGTCTCATGAATAAACTCCCTCAATTAACCCAACAAGCCCTAAGAAATCTACACTTATGCAATCAGGCTGGCGTGAGACCCTCTTTCTTCGGTATCTCAGTATTGTCTATGAGGGTTTGTGTCCCTACAATTGGCATATCAAGGCAGAAGACAGCAGCCTCTTTACATTTGGCCTTACAATTGGAAGAGCTGGCAGAATTGTCTGCCTCGCTACAAATATTGTATCCTTACACTGAAACACTGAGAAGTGAGTTGACCCAAGTCTTCCTGCCTCCAAGATCAGCTTCCTATCCATAACATATAGTAGACATAGTAGGAGAGCTGCCTCTCCAGATTATTATTATTATTATTATTATTATTATTATTATTATTATTATTACCCAATATCATAAATGTGGGGAAAGGTTATCACATTAATGTCAGTGGGATTTAATTGATGACTGTTGAATTTTGCAATTCCTGAAAGGTTCTGGGTAGAGTCCATTTCTGGCTATTACCCAGACAAGAAAGAATGAATTCCTGAATTAGAGATCATGTGGCCTTGTGGGTAGGAAAGCAAAGGGTGCAAATTCAACTTACCTGCCATACTGCTCATATTGATAAATCTTCCCCTTGATTTCCGGAGGAGGGGTAAAAAGGCTTTAGTCACCTCCACAGCTCCAAAGAAGTTCACATCCATGCACTGTCTGTAGATATTCATGGGTAGAAGCTCACCATCTCCTATGGTGCCCAAGACCCCAGCATTGTTGATAACAGCCCACAATCCTGAGATAAAAAAGGGAATTTGGGAAAATATGAAACAGAATTTCTGGCATGTCCAAGATAAAAGAAATGAATGCTAGATTCAAAACCAGAAGACCAAGCTTTGAAACTTATGTACTGAGTCATAGCATCCATAGAAAGGAATTTAGAGGCCATATAGTACAACCTTCTCATTTTACAGATTAGGAAATTTAGGCCAAGAGGGACTGAGCTGGTTAAGCTAAGGTCACACAGATAATTAGTGGCTACCATTTACATGGGACTTAAAGGTTTGCAAAGCACTTTACATGTTAATAATAAGTGACATGTGCTAGACACTAGGGATACAAAAGAAAAAGCAATAACAAAAAAAAAATTCTTTTTCTCAAGAAGGTTACATTCCAATGAGGGAGACAACCTAATACATAAATAGGGATATAGAAGATAAATACAGAGGAGATAGAGGAATGGCAAGTAAACCTGTATAACTAGACTCTATAGTGCTTCGAGGGGAGCAATGTGTTAAAAGATTAGAAAGATAAGAAGGGGCCAACTTGTGAAGAACTTTAAATGTGAAACATAGGAGTTTTTATTTGGTCCTAGAAGTAATAAGGAGCCAAGAGATTTTACTGAGTATAAATTTGTCCATGGTGTGGTGGGTAGACTGAGGCAGAGAGAGACTTAAGGGAGACAGACTAATTAGAAGGCTATTACTGATGTCCAGGTGAAATGATGAGGGCCTGACTTGGAGAGGTGGCTGTGTGAATATTTAAAAAAAAACAAAAATAAGTGAGGTAAACTGAAGAGAAAGAAATTACAAGATTTAAAAAGTGTTTTGGATTTGTGGAGTAAACAAAACAGAAAAGATGAAGATTATAGTAAGATCTTGAAACTGGGAAAGTAGGAGGATGGTGTCACCCTAAACAAGTAATAGAAAAGTTCAGAAGAGAAATAGGTCTGGATGGGGAGGAACATAATGAGTTTTATTTTGAACACACTGAGTTTCAGAAGCCTGTGACACATCCATTTTGAAATGCTTAATAGGTAGCTGGTAACATGAGAATGGAGTTCAGAACAGAGACTAGAAGGGGTAGCTAAGTGGCCCAGTGGATAAAGCACCGGCCCTGGATTCAGGAGGACTTGAGTTCAAATGTGGCCTCAGACACATAACACTTACTAGCTGTGTGACCCTGGGCAAGTCACTTAACCCCATTGCCTCACCAAAAAACAAAACAAAACAAACAGAATAGAGACTAAGCCTAGATAAACAGACCTTCTACTCAGTACCAGTCAAAATAACAGGGCTCATAAAAAGGGGGGGAAATGATAGCAATGAGTAATGTGAGTATATTGAGGAGGGGTTAATTTCAGCAAGACATTTACAAAGGCCTTCATGATAACTTTGTGGACAAGCTCAAGAACTGTGGACTGTCTGAGAGTACTGGGAAGATTCACACTTGGTTGAATGAGCATACCACACTCCTCCTTCACTCCCCCAAAAGGGTTGATTAATGGTTTGATGTTGACCTGGAGGGTGGTCTCTAGTAGTATGCTAAAGGTACATTCTCTGTCGTCTTATTCCATGTTGTTGTTTTTACCAATAGCTTGAATGAACACATATAGATGACAGCTTCTCAGTCTTAGGAGACTTTTAGAGGATATAAAATGAAAATAATGACTGATAAAGATGGATGATAGAAAAAATATTCCAACAGACTGAAAGAATAGGCATCAATGAGTAAGATGAAATTTGATAATAAAAAATATTAAGCTCTACACTTAGTTTCAAAAAAGTAAAATACAAAAGTATAGAATTAGGGACATAGGGACATAAAAGCATTTTGATTTGGAAAAAGTAGTTTTGACTGTAAGCTCAAAATGAGTAATATGAATGAACAGTATATTATCTACTAAAAAAGAGAAGGCAATATTAGTTTTCAATAATGTCAGTATAGTGTACAGAACCAGAGGAAGTCACATATACTATGTTGGATACCATCAATCCTGAGTGGAGAATTTACAGAAAGACATGGATGAGATCACACAGATTGAGACAACACAGACAAGTTACAACCTGTACCACTGGATGAAGTAACCTTACTGATGAGATCATGGATTCGTATGAAGAATAATGGAAGCCTACATCTAGGCTTCCTAGTAGGCAGGGTTCTCAGAGGCCAACTAGGCCAAACACTTCATTTTATTGATGGAAAAAAAAATGGAAGAGGCCTAGGGAAACGAAGTAATGTGCCAAGATCACAAAAATATCAGTGACAAGATTTGAACCCAGGTCTTCTGGACCCAGAGACAGTGCTCTTTATACAGTATATGAACTTAATGAGGAAAGTGATAATCCTATCTCTTGGTCAGACAATATCACAAACATTGCTTTCAATTCCAGGCAACACATATTAAGAAGGACATTTCTAAATAGTAAATTGTGTGTGTGTATGTGTGTATATAATACATATACATATATATATATATATATATATATATGTATGTACATTTTATCTCTCCCAATAGAATGTGAGCTGTTTGAGGGACTTTTCATTCTTGTCATTGTATCCCCAAAATGTAGTATGGTGCTTGGAATACATTAAGTACTTAATATATGCTTGTTGAAAGATTTATTTGTGTATGTATCATCTTCTCTCTCCACTACAGGTCCTCCCCTAATGCCTCATTGTGGCATGGAGGTGAAGCTGGGTCCTCAAAGGCTATGACAATGAAGTCCAAGTCCCAACAAGCCCTAGCAAGCTGAGAAGATCCCACAAAAGTGCTTATCACCAAAAGTTTGATCACAGCTGATTTTTTTTAGCCAATTTCAACGCAATATTTTTTAGCCAAGTCAACTCATCTAAGTCACTGATCAGAACACCTGAAGAGCTGAAATCAAGGGTCTGAGTCATTGCCCTCAATTTTAAGTCCATTCTCTAAAAAAAGAAATTGTGTCTTATTTCTCTTTGTGTCTCCATTGGTGATAGCATAGTAGACATTTAGTAAATTTTTTTTATTTTGAGAGAAACTGGACTGTACCCAGCAGAGAATCACCAGGAAAGTAGAGGGTCTAGAAATTATGTTATGTAAGGAATATTTGAAAGAATCAGGAGTATTTATTCTGTTTAGAGAAGAGAAAACCTAGAGGAGACCTTGTAGCTATTTAAAAATCATTAAGGTACTGTTACTTAAAAGGATTAGAAGTCGTTTTGTATCACTCAGGAGGGTAGATCTATGACCTGGAAGTTATACCCGCTGTGGAAGGAGAGAGGTTTCTACTCAATATAAGAGGAAAATATGGAATGAGACATGATTTCATTGATATAAGGTAGTCCCAATAAAGAAATTACCTCTTCTAATGTAGCTCAGTCCCTGCTCTGGGTTTTATAATTTGAGAGAGCAGCCTGGGTCATTTAGAGGTGACCTAACTTGTTTGGGGTCACAGAGTAGGTGCCAGATCAGATCAGTACCATGCTTCCTATCAAGAAAGGGATATAATCCTAACATTTACATTTGTCTGACGATATAATGGGCTACCTTGGTGAATACTGCTTCACAAGGAGGTGCTGAAGCAGAGACTTCATGACCACTTAATAGAAATATTGTGGAGAGGAGTATTGTATTAAGTGGAAGATTGAACTGGGTGACCTCTGACATCTCTTCCAATGATGCTAATCGACAATAATAATTCTAATGTTCTGTAATTAATTGTATATTTACTTCCTGTTATCAACAAAAGGGACCTCCCCACCCAAACTTCAAAGTGTTAAACAGTTTAAGTGACACAAATTATTAAGCTGATGACTCAGTTTCTCTCCAAACTGCTCCCCATTTATGGCCTATCAAATACTTAGGTCACTTATGATCAGAAGGAGGACATGCCCCTTCTCTAGAACAATAGTAGGGTCCCAATACCTGTGTGTTGCACCTTTTCTGCAATTCGAGCTTGAACTTCTTTGATCTGGGCTGGGTTGGTAACATCCATTTGGAAAACTGAGGTTCTCTTGGAACAGCTCTTTTTCAATGCCTCTGCTCCAGGTCCTTTCTCATTCAGAACACCAACAAATACAGTGAATCCCAACTCATCCAGGTACTTTGACAGGGCATGGCCAATCCCAGAATCCCCACCTGAAAGCAACCAAGCAATTCAACAGGTGAGGACCACACCAAAACAAGCCAAAGAAAGAGCCTATCCTCTCCAGCAGTAGCCCCTGGGGAAGAAAGGGGTATCTTAGCAAACTTTGGGGGACAATGATTCAGCATTGGATTGAATTATTATTGTTTTGGGTGATGGTTCAAAGAGACGATCTTTCAGGTCCCTTCTAGCTCTAAATTCTGTGATCTTATTGTTGTCTCCTTTCTCCCCTCTCCCTTTGGTAGGGGAGGGGACAGTGTGTTATCCAACAAATACATAGAAAGGTGTTATTGTACTATTAAAAATTCCACCAAGACTAGGACATTTGGTGACTGGCTCAAGGAATCCAGGATTGAAGCATAGAGGAATGAATTATATGCACAGCACACGGCTGACCAATCCTAAATTCACAAGGGATTTTCCTGAAAGAGGTCATTTTCATTTGGGGATCATTAAGGGAAGAGTTCATGACTAAACAAGTGATAGGATCACACAAGACTAAAATGGACAATTGTCAAGATATAAAATTTAAAAGCTTTTTGGACAAATATAATGTAGTAAAAATTAAAGGGAAAGAAAATTGAGGGGGTAAAAATCTTTGCAACAGGTCTCTGATAAATGTCTTGGTTCCAAGATACATAAGAACTGATTCAAATTTATAAAACAAAGAGCCATTCTCTAGTATGTATAAATGATTAAAGGATATGAACAGGCAGTTTTCAGAGGAAGAAATCCAACCTATCAACAATCATATTGGAAAAAAGCTCTAACCTACTAATAATTAAAGAAATGCAAATTAGAGCAACTGTGATGTTCCGCCTCCCACCTATCAGCCTGGCAAAGATGAAAGCAGAAAATGACAAATGTTGGAGGGACTGTGGAAAAACAGATACAGTGGGACACTGTTGGTGGAGCAATAAATTGGTCCAGGTATTCTAGAAAGCAATTTGGAACAATGCCCAGAAAGTTACCAAACTATGTATATTCTTGGACCCAGCTATGCCACTACTAGACCTCTATCAGTCTGACTATTCCTTCCCATTCTCCTGTGCTGGATCTTCATCCAGGTAATGTCTATTAATCCCAGACATCTCCCAAGGCTCCTTCCTTGGCCCTCTTCTCTTCTCCTTCTGTACTATTTTGCTTGGTGATCTCATCAGCTCTCATAGATTCAATTACCATCTCTATGCTGATGATTCTCAAATCTATGTATTAAACAATAACTACTCTTCTAAACTTCATTCGCACATTTCCAATTGCCTTTTGGACATCTTGAATTGGAGGTCCTTCAGACATCTTAAACTCAACATGTCCAAAGCTGAACTCATTATCTTTCCCCCAAAGTTCTCCCTTCTTCTGAATTTTCCTATTACTGTCCATGGAACTACCCTCCCAGTCAGCCAGGCTCACAACCTAGGTGTCACCCTCAACTCCCTACTCTTATCCCCCACATCTAATTAATTTCCACGTCCTGTGGATTGATTCTACATATTTATTCACTAAGTTACTTCAACTAATTTCTCTTGTATACTTCCTCTTCTCTCCTCTGATACTGCCACCACCCCAGCACAGGGCCTACTCCCCTCACAACTGGACTACAGGCCTGATGGTTGATCTGCCTGTTTCAAGTCTCTCCCCACTCCAATTCATCCTCCACTCAGCTATCAAAGTGATCTTCCTACAGTCTGATCACATCACCTCCCTATTCAATTCCCTATTATCTCCCATATCAATTATAAAACCATCTATCTGTTTGACCTTTAAAGTCATCCATAACCTATCCCTCTCCTACCTGTCCAATTTTCTTACACCTTATGTACTCTACAATGCAGTGACATTGACCTCCTTGCAATTCCTTGGACTACCATCTTCAAACTCCAGACATATCCATTGGCAGCTCCCCATGTCTGAAATACTTTCCCTCCTGGATTCCCTCACTTCCTTCAAATCCACTAGTTCCTTCCTTCTGTTATCTCCAATTTACCCTTTATATATCTTCTGTGTATAAAATGATTTACATATTATTACAACCAGACTCTGAACTCTTTGAGAGCAGGATCTGCTTTTGTATTGCCCAAGTTGTTCCACTGGTCAAGCCTCAGGGCATCTCTAGAGTTCCACGTGGTCTTTTTTTGTACTCAGATGATCAAGAAGCCTACCTGTAATGGGAAGAGTACTGCCTCTAAAGTCTGAGGAGTTCGATTAAAATTTTGCCTCTGGAACTTTGTGTGTGGGCTATTGGGTGAATCATTTAGCTTACACCCACCTCACTTTCCTTATCTCTACAGTGAAAGGTTTAGGCTTTATGGTTATTGGGGTCTCTTCTAGCTCTAAATCATTATACAATTCATAGTCCTAGATTTTGAGCTGGAAGGGAACTTGGAGGTTCATGTAGTCCAATTCCTTCACTTTACCTTCACTTTACCCCTTCCTCACAAAGATTGCCCCCTTCACTCCAAAGGTGCTGAAAGTCTGATAGTACCATTATAGATAAAGAAATATCTAACAGCCTCACCCTGGGCTGGGCTATTCTTTCCTTTAAAAGGTACTGAAACTGTCATTGAGATTTGATTGGCTTAGAGAACTAAGGCTCTGGTTGTTCATATGTTTTCCTGGTCACCTGAGGGGGTGGGGGGGAAATATGAGGGACTCTACAACAGTCCTGAAGCTTGACTAGTGAACTACCATAGGTAACACATAAATAGAGAACTTGTGTTCAATTGAATCAGCACCATATCCCCAGTCAAATAGCCTCTCTTCACTTTGAATGCCTTCCCTTGCTATGATTGGGTAAGCCTCCTTTTTATTAATTGTTAGATGGAGTACCAGGATCTCATTCTGTTCCAATCTCTAATCTGAGATACCAGCCTGATGTTGTGGTCCCTGGTCTGTTATACTGGCTATCCTTGGGTGGCCAATGCCTTCCAGGCTTAATGTGGGTGGTAGGGAGAGGGTGTCCATGAGAGGGAATAAAGTCCTGACACAGACCAGGGAGTCAATGGGAAGTCCAATGAAGCTGAGATTCTGAGTCATCCCTAAAAGTGGGGCAGTCTCCCATCTGGCAAGGAAAGGACTCCCACAGCAACTCCAGTTACACTTCCCTCACTCCTATTTTTGTAACCCTCTCCTTTCCACCTCATAAGGGTTGATTGAGGATTAAGTCTCATTTTGTTTGCTGGACGTCACTTTACCTCATCTAATAGCATATCTAAGCACTCAGCACTTTTCACCCTCACTGATTCTTAAACAGAGGCCAAAATGCAGGGGACAGTTGATCCCTTTGACTCAGCTCCAAGAATGCCCATGGAAGCAATGAACAATGATGCACTGAGAATCAGGCTCCCCCATCCTGACTCAGAGATCTTTCAACACCACCTGGGATGTCCTAATTAGGAAGCTCAGCCTTTGCCTTAAAAGCCAGTCCTGTAGAACCAAACTGAACTTGAACTTTGCTCAGCCGTCAGTAGAAGTTCAAAGTACTAAAGGGAAAAAGGGAATAAGCCTTTATTAAGTGCATATTATGTGCCAGGCACTAGGCTAAGTGCTTCTACAAATATTACTTCATATAATTCTGACAGCAACCATCTAAGGATAGGTGCTATTAGGATCCCTATTTTACAGTTGAAGAAACTGAGGCAGACAGAGGTTAAATGATTTTCCCGAAGTCACACAGCTAGTAAGTGTCTGAGGCCAGATCTGAACTTAGGTCTTTCTGAATCCAGATCCAGTGTTTTATCCACTGCACCATCTGCCCTAAGATGAGGCAGAAGGAATTGCAGGGGGATAGGCCAAAGTATAAAATATATTAATATTTATAAAATGATTTGAAAACCTTAAAGTCCTGTGTAAATGCTCATTGTTGTTGTTATTGCTGTCATTGTTGTAATAGAGAAGAATGGATAGTGTTGGAGTTGGAGTCAGGAAGACCTGAGTTCAAATCCTGCCTCAGATGCTTGCTTGTTATGTGATTCTGGACAAGTCACTCAACCTTAGCCTCAGTTTCCTTATTTATAATGTGGGGGTGATAATATCACCTAACTTGCAGGGTTGTTGTGAGGATCAAATGAGATAACGCACGTAAAACACTTTGAAAACCTTGAAGTGCTATATAAGTGCTAGCTATTCTTAATGAAGAAGACACTAGAGTCCAAATCCATTCTCTAGAGACAAAAGACTTTTACCATAATTCATCAACAACCCAGCAAGTTGAGCCAGAGCATGAGATCAGCATCTCTCTGGGAAGAAATTGGAATCATTTGAGTTTGTTCACAAAAGGTGGTGGTCAGCACCCTCCCCTCCCCCCCCAACCCCCTATCCTGTCTATACTGGAAGAAAGACTCCTACCTAGCCTTAGTAACAAGCAATATCTGGGTAGATGTTAAAAAGTACACTCATTCAGTTACAAGGGGTAGCTAAGTGGGTAGGTGGCACAGTGGATAGAGCCCTGGAGGTAAATTCAAATCCAGCCTCAGATTCAGACATTTACTAGCTGTGTGACCCTAGGCAAGTCACTTAACCCTAAAAGATTCAGTTATAAGTTTTTGTTCATGATGGTCATGCCCCCTTTTGACTTATTCAAATCCTAATCATCTCTTGGAGCCCAGATGAAGTTCTCCCTCTACCCTGAAGCCTTCTCTTGTTCTAACACACTCTGACTTCTCCCTCCTTTAGTTGTTACTGTATTTCAGTCACATTCAATTCTTTGTGACCCTATTTGGGGTTTTCTTGGCAGAGATACTGGAGTGGTTTGCCATTTCCTTCTCCAGCTCTTTTTACAGATGAGGAAACTGAGGCAAATAGGGTGAAATGACTTGCCCAGGATAAGTGTCTGAGGCCAGATTTGAACTCAGGAAGATGTGTCTTCCTGACTCTGAGCTCTGTACTCTATCCACTGCACCATCTAGCTGCCCAAATATATAAGTTGGAACCTCCTTAACTCCAGAATCACATCACTGCTGGGATTCAACATGACGGTTTATATTTGGCACAAATT